TGCAGCTTTGCCACAACATCTCGATGTGCAATCTGGAGCCCAGTGCAGAGGTACTAGCACACTTCTGCACAGTCCAGTTCCTGGCCAGCAGGGACTTTCCCCTTACTCTACATGCCTTGGGTGTCTCAGACTGCATTGCCTAGAGCCTCTGGTCCCCAGGGCCTTCACATGGCGAAGATTGTGCTCCAATTATACATAACCAGTGTGGGTCAGGCAGTGAACCTCAGCTGAACTCTACTAGAAACCCAGAGTACTTGTAAGAAATATGCAGATGTACTTAAACAGTTTTGCAAGAAATTTCCCTAGAAGAGGGAGTTAAGGTGAGAGCTGAGTCAGTCTTGAGTTGTTTGTGGAGACATTTCTGCTATGCTCCCTGGAACATCCAGTATTAGCTGTATTTATTTGACCTTATTTGCTTGTGTCTTTGAATTATGACAAATTTTAAAAGAAATTTGTATTCTTTTGGTTGACCTGCTTTCTTGATAGTTTGTGGTGTAACTAAGACACATCAATTTTAATTTCTGGAGAGGTGAGGCTGATGCTGGGCTTCCTTTAATAAATGAGTGCTTTGTTATACTTGTAAAAATTAAGCTTATTATGCTTACCCCTGCTGTACCACATAACCCTATAACTTAATACTCACCAGCATAGCAACTGTATAGCTTGGTGTGAAGCATTTCACAGAGCAGGCTGAACATGCTGACACCGGAGGGAAGACACACTGCGCATGAGCGGAGGGAACTTGCAGGCTATTAATGCACAGCAATAATGTGTGAGGTACTGTACAAGGCGTGCATGGGTCAGAGAGTGGCAAGGATGAAGGCATGCACCCATTCTATGTGTTTGAGCTGTGTGGTGACCAACACCCTCCTCCCCACCTCCCCAATCCCTTCTGCTGTGAGCAGGACAACAGTCTGCTGTGACTCCTGGTACGTGTTATGCGCAGCAAAACATGACTCTTGTAAGTAAATAAGATTTTATCAGGTATGCATCCAGTATCAGCTTTTCCTCCAAAACCTTGTAGGATTCTGGTTTAGTTTTATTTTTATTTTCTGCCTCGAACTGATCATTAACAGTACGTGATTACCATAGTAATGAAACTACCTTTCTTTATTTTAAACTTAGGAGGTATTTAATCCTTGAGGGCAGTGTAGTAGGACTATCATCATCCAGGCTAAGTAAATAGTATTAAACCACATAGTATGCATATGTTACTTGAAAATATAGGAAGTTTTATGCATATTAGTTACTGTGCTAATAACACTAGGAGCCTTTTCTGGTTGATTTTTTTATGTCTATGAATGCATAATTATTTTTATACAATATTTAATAATAAAAATATGACACAACTACTTAATCATAGGAATACTTACAGCTGAGGTTGATGCTGCATGTTTATTCTAGTCATAGCTGCCTAAATATCACAGTACATTTAATATACAATGTCATATACATACTGATGTGAGCATAATGTACTGCTAGTAGCTCAGCAGAATAGAAACTTTGTACTGATGAAATGTCAGTCTTAATTTTTTATTACCTTAGCTGTGGGCATTTTATGTCAAAACCAGATCTGACCAAATACTGAAACATGCTATGCAATGAAAATGCTTTCATTTATTTAATGTCTTGCAAATGGTATTTTCCCATAGTGGTATTTTCCCATAGTCTTTCAGAGATGTTAGTGGCTATGAAAACCGGAAGAGGTTTCATCAGATTTAATACCTTCAGGGACTGGCTAAAAATATAGTCAGAAAATGAATCAGTATTTAAACTAGTTACATTAGAAAAGGAATCTTAAATTTTGTGCTAAGCAAAGGGAGAAATGAAACTCACCATGCAGGGTCTTTGTTCAAATGTTTAGTGTATCTTAAATACCTATTGAAACTGTGGTTCTACTGAAGAGCTAAACCATCCATGGGTTGAAATATTTTTTCATAAAATATTGTTTAGAACTTTCTGGCTCTTCATAGAGTTTCATGGCTGAAAAAAGGGGAACTGAGCTCAAGGAAAATTGCTTGCAAGGACTACTGTGTGCCTTAACCACATCTGCTCATAATAATTGAGGGAGATGTGTTCTTTTTTTTGGTAGAAATAAACAGTACAGTTCTCCAGTTTAGTTGAAGTGATCAGGGCATTGTGAGGGTGGAGGGAGGTCACTGTGCTGCCCCACCTGGCTTCAGGTGTGGGTGACTGGAAGCCACAAAATGCATCTGAGTAGGGCCCATCTGCCTGCAGAGTGCCTCAGCAGGGCCAAGCAGGACGATGGCTGTTGTGGTGGGCACCTTGTGAGCCTCAGCTTCCTGCAATGCTACCTCTGAGCCAGGCTCTGAACATCTAAGCCATCACCTGTCTTGGCTGAAGCTGAGTTTCTGTGTTGTTTGTAAGCCAGAACAAACTTCTGAGAGGGTGATTTTCTTGGGCTTCCCTTTCACACATCTTTTATTTTTCATGCCTCATATAAGAGGTTTTTAATTTTTGGCAGATTGTCTTCTCAGGGCATTCTGAAACTGTATTACTTACTGCAGGTGGACCCAGATTACTGGGGTAAAAAGCCAGAGGATAAAATTACTTGAAAGTTGTAAACTGTGTTTTAAAACCCACAGAAAGAAGAGTGTGGTTGATGCATGTGATATTTGCTATGGGAATGGCAACCAAAACATTATTAATGGCTTTGTTCTGTCTTTTTAGTTATCAATGGTGATTCTTAAACCATTAAAAGTTCAGGTTGCTGTATATACAAAAAGAAATTATGTGATTTCAAATTATAATTGGAGATGTGGTTGTAGAATAACAAATGAGAATAATTAATAGAAAGTTAATTGGGTAACATAAGAAAAGTTTATCCTGGTATATTGGGATTGCATGCTTCAGTTGATACTTAGTGTACTTTTGGGATTTCTGGTTGCACCTCACCTCTGGTTCTGATAGTATATTGTATTATGAAGAATATTAATAATGTTGCAGAACAATTACTGGTTCATTTGCTAACTGATTAAAATTCATGCATAATTTATTTGAACTGGAAGAGACTTTATAAATAAGTCTCCTTGGCCTCAAGAGCTTAAAAATGAAATGTGTATGCTAATATAAGAATGTGCTTTACTTCTTAACATAAAAACTTAATAGGCAATGGTATATTAGTCTCATTAATGTGAGGTTTTATTTGTGATAATTGTGCTCTTAATCAAAGTGTATACTTCTAAACATAGCCATATGTTTTAGAAGTTTTATAACTTGGAGTCGGCAATGCATCATGCTCATCAACGATTATGTTTTTTTTCTGTAATATATACTGACCTTAGAATACATTAGTTTGACATTTAATATATTAGTTCCACAGCAAATAAACCGCCCTCATTAAGCCCAGCTGCATTTCTGAGCTTTGATGCAGGTAGTGATCTAAATAAATTCATATGCACATTTCTTGCCAAAACAAGATAAAATGTTAATAATTAATTGAGATATTTTCTACAGCTTTGTATATCCTAAAGCATAAATGGAAACACCTTGGAGCATTCACCTTTTCAGTCCAGGAGGAGAAAATCAGCTCCCATTACTTCTGCTATGGCATGGCCACAGATTCCTTGGTCTCCAAACATAGTGCTTTGAGACACAACTAATTTAGAAAAAAGTCTGCAAGAAATCCTTTTTTGCCAAAATGTGGGAAACTTGGTTACTTATATAGCAAATATAAATACACTGTTCAGAGCAAGCTCTGGCATCTGGAAGGAAACTTTACTGTCGGATATAGAGAATAAGGCAGAACCAGAGACTCGTTAGCTGAAGTTCACCATGCAGTGCAGATGGGATGTCAAAGGAGGTTCCCCCCCCCCCCCCATGAACTCTGTCATTGACACTGGTGGGATCATTCCTAGCAGGCAGAATATGTACAATTCTTCTGTGTCTCAGTTTCTGTTGTGGAGAGGGTGGGGGGAATGGTGATGAGAAGGGTTCCCTCTAAGGAAATCTTGTGGTCTGGGGCTAAATGTTATTTTTAGTGTACTGGCCATGAGATCCCCTCTAACTGCTCAGAGATGCTGCACTGTTAGTTCTGCATCACTGCTATGTGAAACCCCTGTGTGCACTGAATTTAGCATTGTTGCCTAATTAACTGAAACAAATTAGTTGAAATATGAGCCATCTGGAATGAAAATGAACCTTCCATGTTTATCAGTGGATTCATTTTATTAGAAAAGTACATGTTGCTTGTGATTTGTTTTTTAAAAAAAATCATGCTGAGGCAGTGTTTCTATGTTAACATTTATCAGGGTAGGGGGGATCGCTCCTTCCCATTTGGTTACTTTTTTCACTTTGCAGCTGCATTGAAATATTTAGGCAAGCAGAAGCTGATGAGAACAGGGAAAGACAAAAGGCAGCACATACTGTTTTAATTTCAAAATCAGTAGTAAGTTACTAAAGACTCAAGTTGTTGCCATATGTCTTTATTTTGTCATTCTCCTGGCGTTTTTGCTCAAGTCTGAGTACTCTGAATGCCTGTAATAGGCATCTGTCTCTTTTACTCTAACTGCATCTGGTGGGTTTCAAGTTAACTGCAGTGATACTAGTTTTTAAGAATGTTCTGTGCAGAGTTAGTGTATCACCTATTGCAACTCTTTCTAAAAGGAAAGTACAAATGTAGTTTCAGTCAATAAAAGAAAATCTCAAGTTACTGCCATAGTAAATTATATAAATGAGCATTTTTTTCAGAGAGAAATGTTAAGAAGCAGCAATATATAAATCAGATAGGATTTCGTGGTCCCTAGCTGAGATTTTTAAATGGAAAAAATAGCATTAAGCAGATGCCAGCGGTTCACCACTCACTTCCATCAGCTGAAATTCTTCTCAGCTCTTCTCCTTTGATGTTGGTTTGAATATGCTTTTGAATTTTGGAATCTTTGCTGGCCAAAATCTGACAACTTTCTATGTAAAGAGTCCTCGTCTTTGTGGTTTTTCCAGCTTTTGTTTTATCACTGGCTTATTTTTTGTCTCCCCTGCAGAGCCACCTCGGCCAATAGCACCCCCGCAGCTGCTGGGCGTTGGGCCTACATACTTGCTCATTCAGTTGAATGCCAACTCCATCATCGGGGACGGACCCATTATCCTGAAAGAAGTGGAATACCGAATGACGTCTGGGACTTGGACCGAAACCCATGCTGTCAATGCACCAACATACAAGCTCTGGCACCTGGACCCTGACACTGAATATGAGATTCGAGTCCTGCTCACCAGACCAGGGGAAGGTGGGACTGGGCAACCAGGACCACCGCTCATCACCAGGACCAAATGTGCTGGTGAGTGCTGCTTTGAAAAAATGAACAAAACCTCAAAACTGTCTATTAATCGGTTTAATCCATTGGCAGGCTTGTTAGCTTCAATTAATTTGTAGCAGAACTTAAGGATTCCCTTCACACCCAAAGGCTCTCCAAGTTTCTGGGCCAATAAGGATTAGCTGCTTTGCTCAGTCATTGTCTAGGTTGCTGTTTGCTAACCCTGGGAGGGTAGGTTAGGAGATGGGACTTTAGAAAACTAAGGAAGCATTTTGTTTCTCCTTGTGCAAGGAAGGAGATCTTGTGATTTCTGGAAAGTACAGACCACCTTGTTTTTTCACCTTTATATTTTCACTTACATTTTAAATAAACTTACACATAAGAGAACTTGCATGGTAAAAAAAAGATATGTTTAAGAAATAAAATTGTATTAAAAAATGTAGTGTACCTCTGCATAATTTGTCTTTTCTGAAGCAGTTACAAATGGCCTGCCAGAATCTCTAAGAACTAGAATACAAATACTAAAATCCCTAGTCATGACCACTCCCAAAGGAAGTGGTCACAGCTCTCAGGCACATGGTGTCATTCTTGGGGCTGTCCTGTGCATGGCTGGGGGTTGGACTGAATGATTCTTGTGGGTCCCTTCCAACTCAAGATATTCTATTGTCATCATCATCATCATGAAAAATGAAGATATTCTATTATACTCTAAATCATAAAATACAATTGCAAATATTAATAGAGTATTTTCTCCATTACCAAAATCATGTGCTCCTGAGCCCTGAAGTCTGCTTCTTGTTTCTTAGAGTGCCCCTGCATGACCAGCACCAAGAAGATTAAGCACAGCGAACTTGTGTTATATGCTGTTCCTTCTAAAGATACTTAAAGTTATTTTAATCTCAGCTTTCATAAGGAGAAAGATAATACCTATATCTCATACTTGTCGGGAAGAAAAATCAGGTTTGAATCTCAGACTGGGAGACAAATAAGCATAACTTAAATTGTGGGTTTTCTTTCCCCTTAATCTCAGGACTTCTGGGGCCTGACAGTATTTTAAAGTTGCAACTATATTAGATTTAGCAAAGAGTGCGGAAAACCATCTATTCAAAATTGCATTAAAGTAATCAGAAGGAAAAGCTGCAGTTTCAGGTTTCTGTGTGTCAGGTATATGTGTGCAAATGTGAATAAGAAATATAAATGAAATAGTTTTTTCACAAGTTTGTGAAATATCTCAGTGGGACACCTCTTTCATGCATGACCACTCATTTTGTTTACCTAAGAAAGAGTGTCAGGATCTAGATTAGAAGCCAGAACTTCAGCGGACTGGGTCAATAGGCATGAAACCCAGGAAATTAGACAGTCTTTTTTGAAACTGGACATAGTACTGTCAGAAGCTAAGGCAAGCAACTGGAGACTGAACTGAAGCATCTTTTGGAGTTTGTGATCTTATTTATAATTTAGGCTGTCTTTCTAGTGAAGTAAAAAGCTCTGTGTGTCCATCTCAGTTAAGGTGACAGTTGCTGAGATCTGAGTAAGGTTAAAGCATTGGTTAATTGCACTGAATTGGTTTAGACATTCTTCTGAAAAAGTAGGAATTGGGAACAGCCTCTGTTTTAAAGAGGCTGAGCAGAGACTAACATATCCAGACGTTCAGGTTCTTTTCCTAGCACTTAAAAAATGTAATTTCATTTACCCAGGTTGTGACAGACAAAAGCTTTTTAATAGGAAAGAAAAAGAAAGGAAGTAATTATTTATGTGACATATTTTTAGAAACCAGTTAGGGGAAACAATGTTTTGGGTGTGATTATATTTTTAATTTATTTTTAGCATAATGCTCACATATAAGGCTCCAAAATCTAGTCTGTACTGACAAAATTTTTTAATTCTATATAATCCACTATGAAATGAAGCAGATAAAAAGATACTTGAGCAGAAAAATCTGAACCTGTGACAACATTAATAATAATGAAAGTGTTTACCTCACACTAAGACTGATTCTTCTTATTCTATCAAAGTGAAGGCAAATAAATGTTATTACTAGCTAGTTGCAGTTGGAAGACGGTGAGTCAGCAAGGGCTTGTGAAGACTGAAGGATTGTGCCCACCATCAGGGATGAGTCAGGGGCAGAACTGACTTGAACAACAGGTCACCCTTCTGCGTCCTCACCTGTCTGGAAAATGAGACAGACCTTCCTTTTCTGCAGTGTTTTCCCAAGGCTTCTGATAGATAACTGCAAGCCCCAATCAGTATGATTTTTTTATTTTTATACATTTTGCTTGTTAAAGGCAAACTATAAACATAAAAATTAGTCTTTTGCGAAGAGAAGATTTATAAGAAAAGGTAAAGGTAATAATGGAATAGCTCACCCTGCAGTCTCTGCTGCTGCCAGTATTGTACAAGTGAGTGGCAGGTGATTTACTGTGCTATATTAGATGACATCTCTGCAGCAATATCTTCTTTCTGGAGATCCTTCAATTATTCCTAATTCTTGTTTCTGACAAGATCACTTTTTTTCCAGACAGATACTCTCTTTTCTGTCAATGTTCTTTGTCAATTTTGTCTTTCCATTGGTTTTATACATTTTAGTTCAAATTCTGAAACAAGTTATAATTGTTTATCTGCTCAGTGTCAGATGGAGTGGTGGGAAATAAATAAATTTTCAACATGAAGTTTTGACTGCTCTCTATACAGATTAAAAAGCATACATTAGTGAATGTTGATCTGATGAGACTGTAAATATTAAAGTTTACATTCGGAGTAGCAGCAAAAGCTGCTACTGAAAAAATAATCAGGATAGGTTAGTATTCTGCTCTCTGTTTGTTTAATACTTAAGCAAATATTAACATTGTTTTCAAATGAAGATTAAAATATTTTTCTCCACAATTCATTCAGTATTTATAATTTCATTATATTTCTTAATAACATCTTATTGATCACTTGGCCTGTGCTTTGCAGGGGGTCTATCTTACTCCTTAGTGATTTGACTGATGATTGTACATATCTCATTGCCATACATGCACATTATTATTAGGTATTTAGATAATTTTCACTCTTCCTCATAGCAAAACTATGCTATGCTTTGCTATGCTAGCAAAATGGTGACTCGTTTACTAAATGTTTCCGCTAATGCTAAACAAAATTGTTCTTTAATGAAGGGATAACAGCCTGTTTGTCTACCTGGCATTTCCCAGGTAATCTTTCTTGTGCTGAAGCTCAGTGAATGCATTTTCCTAGATGTGTTGTTTTATCAGTCTGCAATTAAAGATAGTGCTGAGCAATCAAATATATGAAACCACTGAGTGTTTTTAAATGGCTGAAGTCTAAAACATGTGAAACAAAGCACTATTTTCTGACATTATCCTCCCTAGCAGCCAGGCCTATGCTTTGTGTTTTCCTTTTCTAAGCACCACTGATGATGGTACTGGGCGCTGTGTTCCCAACTGCTGATGCTGAAGGCTCCTGCCTCCCCATCAGTCCTCATGGGGCGCCTGAAATTTATTTCATTATGACTACACTTCCTGCCTGGTGTCATTGCTCACGTTATTCACTTTTTAAGGATTTTAACATCAAAAAAAAAACCGCAGAAGGGTAACACTTGAATCAGAAGTAATCCTTACAGCTGTTTTCTGTGGCTTTGGAGTGTGTCATCCTTCTGAGAGTATCCTCTGAGTTGTGATTGTCTTTCCTTGGGGAGGGTGTGTGTGTAGAAAATATGTGGTAATATAAAATTGTGCACTTAGCCTACTTCTTCAACTGTAAGCTAGAAGTTATTCTGTTACATTGGCTGCTGCTTCTGAGTAACAACTCACAGCTCAGTTTTATGATTAACTGATATTTTAGTAGCAAAGGAGGTCAATAGTTCAGCCTGTCCAGAGCTTAATATATGTATACAGTGCAATTGCTCGCTCTTATTTTACTGAAGTTCAGTGCAAGGGTGTGATTTTTCAGAAAAACATGAAGAATTGTAGAGGAATTGGAGAAAGAGTCCTTTGTGTTTTCATTTTTTTCCAAATGACTTGATTTTAGTAAACCGTTGCTTGTATGATTTGATTTTGATAACAGAATGAGTAAGGGCGTTGGGGGAGGGAAGCTTTATGGCTTTAGCAGGGATAGAAATGGAAAAATATATATCAATATAATAATAATAATAATTATAATAATAATAATTATTATTATTATTATTTCATTGTTCAAAATCATTATCCATCACAGAGACCTGCTATTGGTAACCGTCAGCCTCAAGGTACAATAGCGGAGATGCTGGTTCAGGGATGCAGTGCTGGTGTATGATTGCTGCAGTTGAAGTTTTGGGAACTTTACTCTCTGCTGCCTTTTTCAAGCACCGAATGTTTGTGTGCAGTTTCCTCATATATTAATTTTGAAAACAGTGTACACAGAATGCAGAATTCTGCTGAATTCTCCTCTAGCAAACAAAAAAACCAAAACATGGGGAAACGTTGAAAAACAAAAGCAAGCTTAAGGGCTTTTGTTCATTGTCTGGGGATTTATAAGAGAGGGACCACAGTGATTGAGAAAGTGACCTTGCAGGGCCATTTGGAGGACTAAAATATTGTCGTGGTTACGTAAAAATTGTAATTTATTTTGAAAATGAGTTCAGTGAAAGGGACATTGCAGTATAGAATCTGCATGTGCTGATGCGGGATTTGTGCAGTGCTACTTCAGTAGGTGTTGTTTGCCTTTTACACTTGCAGAGCGAAGGCAGAGTGTTCAGAGTACGGATCTGGATTTATGGGCTTTGTTGTGTGCTGTACATGAGAATTTAGGATGTTGGTATGTGAGGCAATGGTCTTGTAAAATTGGGTACAGTCAACATCACAGGAGGGTTCTGGAAAATATGGCACTGAATGGATAAGCCGTGCTCTTCATTTGTGTCCCCTGCAGTAGAGCATCTTCAATTATTTAAACCTTTGAAAGCTAATGAAAATACAGAATTTTTAATTTATAGAATGTAATTTTCAAACATTTAATTTTATTTTTTTTAAATCGAACAGAGAGAAATATTT